TAATGAGTATTTTAAAATTTAAAATTATTTTTATATCTAAAAATAYTCATAACTCGGTTTAAAATTAAAATATAATAAAAAGCCTATGAGATGCCCTCGGTAATAATCTTGCCTTTAATTTTTATGATAGGTCAATTCACTCTAAATTTTAAATCAAAGGAGATAAACGAGATTCGCTGAGCGTAAAATTTGCTATGCTACGCACTTGTACGTCGAAGAAAACACAATATGCGGGTGTGGCGTCATCTTAATGTCCACACAAAATCTTTAATAAGGACAATCAGAATTAAAGTTGAATAGGACAATGTAACCAAAAAATTAATTATCGATACAAATTTATTCATTATCKGACGATTAAAAACGAATGCAGTATTCAATACGCTACAAGCAAATTTTCGAAATTGAATTCGTTCACAGAAAATAATGGTTACAGAAATACCGAAAATTATAGTTCGGTTACCACACGGTGGGGTAAAATCTACACTTTAAGAGTCATCATAGATTTTTCTGTCGCGACCAATGGTACCTACTTATATAATACTTTTACATAATATGCACATCATGCACGCTTTTATTTTAAAAACTTAAGACTTTCTTAAAGTAAGATAAAAAACAATCAAATCTACTAAAACATCTGCATGCATATAATAAATGTATTTTGTTATACTCGTACCATTCAAGTAGGTATATGTATAAAATTTTAATAAAATAAATACTGGCTTTAAATATTTTGTCAACGATGTAGGCAAGAAAACTAATTTTTCAAGGTTCTCAAGTACATGACAAGAGATCAACTAGGTATTTGTAATTTTATTATAATCATAAACATTTTTTATTTTTATTTAGACAACCCAGAATATGAAAGAAAAGGGGAAAAAATCTTATCTCATTRTGGTACTATGCGATGTGAATATAATATTATGAAGTATCAACCATCGAGGGCATCTTAGCGATCGGCCATAAGTTTTATAGCTTTGAAATTCATATTTTCGTCTTCAGTTTATATATATTATCTGTCCCAGAAATTCGATAACACCATAATAGCCCTCCCGAGTAGTGCGTTTACGGTTCATACCTGGTATGATGTGGTCGAGTGGCGGCAAGGCGCTGCATTTGTCGACCATTGCTTGGTACATCTTGTCTTTGGCGACGCTCAGGTCGACGCCGCCGATTTTCGTGATCATCAGCGTAAGGCTGGTGGGTCCGGTGATGCGGCACATGGAGCCCTCGGCCACTTCGTTGGGTTCCAGACAAAACTTTGAATAACCGGATTCCTCACCGTCATCTGCGTCCAATGTCGCCGGCGCACCAACGCTACTCACCGTGTTGTTTACCGCGTTCGTTGATGCCACCACATTGTCATAGGTCGACTCGCGCTCGTCGTAGGCCTGTCCGTAGCCGTCGCACGTCTGCCCATAGTTGCCATAGGTCTGTCCGCCGTCGTCGTAGATCGATCCACCATCGACGTAGGCCGTATAGTCATCGTAACCGTTGTTGCTGGGACCGTCATAAATGCTATCGTCAGCCTCGWAACAATTGCTATCGTCGGCCGCATAACAACTGCTGTCTTCAGCTGTGCCATCATTATTTATTTCGTCCGTGTCCACCAGATCAATGATTGACGCCGATACGTACGTGAAGTAGGCAATTCTTCCCGACACCAGATATTGAAATATGTCGAAATTGTTTTCGACTTCTCTTATGGACTTGATCTACAAGTTAACATTGTTATAACACTATTATAAATATTATTAAGTATAGAGATGGAGGAGATGGCGTCGGAGGATGGGATAGATCTTCTGTACCGTTCGACCCACGTTTTATCGAATTCTACTCAGYGTATGACATATATTGATTCATTCGGTTACTGGTGATTAAAATTATAATAAGCGAATTGAGAGATAATTTATTTTTAATTAATTATTAAACATTAAAAATAAATCTTTGCTAATATAACCTTTAGCGAAATTCATTGTCATATCAGTTTTATTTTGTATSTTTATTATTTTTAATGAGTCATGTGACTGAATAATATTAACACATTATACACCACAATAAATATATATTTGATGGCATGGGAGAAACTGCCATTTGTCAAACCTGTGGAACTATGTTAACACTTTAACAGTCAAACACATAATTGCCCACTGTTTATTGTACGCAATCAAGAACGAGTTGAGTACAGGAGATATCATACAACCTGGACTCGACACTCGGTCCCAATCCTAAAAATAACTCAGATTTATTGAATTTTTTAAAACACTTCAAATGGTACAATCATTGAATCATGTATAAAAAAAATTACATACCATTTTATTTATAACTCATCTCTCGTTATTGTTAAATTCTTAAAACATGAATATTGAATCATATACTACATTGATAAGTGCGAAGTCGGTAAATTGCATCCCTCAAAAAAGGTCATATTTATATGGGAGATGGTAAATTCCGCCCGGGATAATATCCAAGCAAAATAAGGTACATGTAAATTCCGCCCGAAAAAATATACAGGTAAAAAATAGTTCCGCCTGGAAAAATAAATATTTTTAATCTAAGCGTTCCGTGAATKTACGACGCGACCGTACTTTTCGCAACGCGGTGCGTGTTATAACTTATAGTATTGGGAAGTCACAACATTTTCGAACACGGAACAATCTTATCTCAAACGATAATCGTCAATCATGTCATATCATATCAGATTTGACTGCAATATTGTGGATCTAAAATTTCAGATAGAAATATTATAAATTGTGTTCAGTACACGTCCTAGAGTCTTATACGCTTATACCTAGTACCTACCTACGCTATAATGGCTCAACTTATCGAATCAGAACGTGGAAATATACTTTTATAATATTATAATTTTATTTTCGGGCGGAATTTACATGTACCTTATTTTACCTGTATTTCATTTTGGGCGGAATTTGCCATTTTCGGGCGGAATTTACATGCGCCCATTTATATATTACGTAAATTGCGGCCTGGGATATTCCAATTTYCGGTCGGTTGTACAATTTAAAGATAAGTATTAATCTTTGAATGACCGATGTAGATAATAATAATATGTTCATTAATATAATATATTACTAGCAATCAGTGTGCATTTGATCGAAGACCTTATTAAAATACATTTTTTAACCATATACATTTTTACAGGTACATTATTACTAATTGCTAATAATATATTTTTAAATTAAAAACAAAAAAAAAACAGCAAAACCAATATTTTTAATCATATCAATATTGATACAATTATATTGACAGTCCTAAGTTTGAAAAATGAAAAGGAAAATATTGATTTTTCAAAAAACGCCTTAGACGCAATTATTACTTATAAAAATATTTGGGTAGGTAAAAAAATTATACTCGGGCCGCAATTTACGTATATATAAAATATAGCCAGGCCACAATTTACGTTTGTGCAAAATATGCTCGGTTATAATCAGCAAATGCCCCTATTGCCCCCCCCCCTACAGGTACACCACTGGTACTAAGGATTTTAGTGCTTATGTCTTTCATCGATCAAAAGGACATCATTTTTAAAATTTAGTCAGAATTCATATTATTTTATCTCTATCGAGGTATATGGTATTGGTATATCGTTACTTAAAGTTTCCTATTTCAACCTTCAGTTATCTGGCTGAAATATTCCGTGATACTATTAAAGTGTAACACACTAGAAACCTCACATAACACCTAAGCATAGTATTTATGTAATAAGAACCCATTATGTAAATATAATTGATTTATGTTAGTAATTTATTACACTATATTATTGTTACTATCTGTACATCAAACAGTTCGCTTCGACTATAGATGAATATCATCTCTAGTATTCTTATTCAAAATTTATCACTTGAAAATCCAAAAAAGAGAAAGTTTGTTTTATTACAGTATACGTATTGAATTGACTTATTTCTTATTTACTATTCTTGTTATCGGGATTAATAACAAAAAATATATTAAATGCATCATGACGTACGGTAATAACACACGATGACTTACCGCATAAATATCTTGAGTCGATAGATCCATGTCGATCGTCATCCTACAAGTTTTATCAACGATCATGTGGTGTATCAAGTCGAGCGAGGGTATCGGCCATTTCCCGTTTTTCGTAATCTAAATAAATTGAATAATTAGTATGACGATTGTTTTGGGCACAATGCCGCGTCGACGAATCGTCCTCGTACCGGTAAAATGACACTGAAGTATCCCTTGTGACACAGTTGGGGCACTTCGGTCATGTACAAAGTCGACCGGAGATCCTCGTGCTTACACGTCTCGATGTTGCCGAAATCGTAAAACTGTACGGTAAACTCCCCTTTTTCATCTATCTGGAACATCAATTTTAACCTTATTTTTTGATGTGATACCATTATAATGTGTTAATCTATGTACCATTTTCCGACAGTGGTCACGTCCCATATTAAATAAATTATGTAACCGGCAATGGTTTAAAACTTTAAACTAATTTAGATTTATAGAAATAGAAAGATAACAATAATACAATATACATGAAATGTTGTAAAAATCATATTTTTTGTTAATACATTTACAACTATGGCTATAAGAAATCACCTAACTTTTACAGTTTAGAAGTCAAAGACAATGTTGAGAATGTAAAAAACATATAATTTAAATTTGGATAGAAATTCAAAATGACGCTCTGCAAAGAACAAAAAAAAGGTCCACTATGTAAGAATTATTAGGAACTGTAGGTTACACTAAATGTATGCATCCGTGTGTTAAAAATATATATATATTTTTTTTTAGGGGAACCCACGGCAACATAAGCCATTGGGTGTGGTACGGTAGGGATTAAAAATATTATATTATATTAGAATATGTATTTCATGGACAACTAATTTTTAATGAATATTGGGTACGATCGACGATTACAATGGCGGCTTGGCCAGGTCAGCGAGACGGCGATCACTAACTGGGCCCCCCTTTCAAATTTATTGAACAAATAAGTTCAAGGGTCAAGACCCTCACGTCTTCCTAAAAGTACCAAAATAGAGGGTCCCTTTTTTACTTAGCAGGCCAAATAATCTATTCCCGGTACGATACTACGACATATTATAAAGTCCGAAAAGTACCTGCCGACTGATAGGAAAAGTCGGTTTTWCAACGAGGCCCAATTATAATTCAACAAGCAAATTCAATAAACATTTTTACTAATTATTGCTGAAAAAAATATAGAAATATCATCACCTGTAAAATATTTCTCTATGTTTCATCGTTTGAAAATACCTAATCAATGCATACAGTACCGATAATTTTGAACGGAAATATTAGTAGTTAGTGACTACTGGTTATATTTATTTACGTTAATTCCTTAATTAACACCTTTGACTGTAACATAAGTAACACTGCAACCAAAGACGTACAAAAAGGTATTGGAAATTAAGGGTTCAGTTCAACCTCGAAATATTTACACAGGCGCGTAAGAGACAAATTAATCTCATAAACTGCAATATACATATCATTATGTATTTATAATTTGTGACGTGAGTACTCAACACACTATACATAACTTATTAATGAAAAAACGTTGATTTTTTTACATATGACTTCTACTCTTYCCACACCAAATTTTTCAGTGTATCTATGTGTCCCATATTCACTTAACCTAATTAGAATTAACAATTCAATGCTTTAAACTATACTTAATAGTTATGAATATTTTTAAGTAACTTACTATCTTTCTTATACAACATTATTGCTTGACAATTAAGCTACAGAGAAAAAAAAAATATATATATATATATATTACACTAATATTGTTACGCATAAAGTTCACGTAGATTTTAAAAACAAAATGAGTATACAAATTACGTTCATATTCATATTTCAAAACTCAATATATATATAAGCTTTGAAATAGTACATGGATTTATAATTGTTTCATTTTACTGTTAAGTAGGTACACTTTGTAGTTTTAATCAAAATTATTTATAATAATTAATGATCCATCTTTTAAAGGTTGACCAACAAAGGATGGATATAGGTTAATTAGATGGTAAATATTGTTTTGAAATATTATTATCAGATTTTATAGTTTCTCTAAAAACCAAACCAAAGTTGGCTATAAAAAATATAATTAAGAAAAAAGAAACATTTTATCTAAGAAAAAGAAAATACAAACTTTTAAGATTATTCCTCGGTACCACTTATTGTCTTGATGGTATTTAACAATAACCGACTGTCCTTGACTCCATTTCATATTTATTGGTTCTGGTTGGCTATTGGAAAATATGTCATATAATTCGTCTGTAATAAGCTTTAATGATTGAGAAGTTTCTGGAATAATAAAAATAATTATATTTATTATAATATTACAAAATTAAAATAAATATTATTTTAATTGTTTTTTGTTTTTCATACCCTCGTCTAAAATTTGAAAGTAGGTATGGCATTTCATATCAACATATGTCACAATTGAAGTAAATTGAGATTCAACCAAACCAGCAGGAGGCATCCAAGAGTTAACAACTATATCATTTTCTTTAGATACATTAGAGTAATTGAGTTCTGATTCTGATTGAGAGGTTGAATATTCACCATCCTGTTGGAAAATATTTTGATGGCAAGCTCTCCACAAAAGTATAAGATAAATAAGAGATACAACTAATACCGGCATGAGGTGAACTGAAGTAGTTTAGGTGTAAGAAAGTAAAATAGTAAGATATAGGGAAAMACTTTTATAATATATAACATTGTTTTTAATGTTGTGTGCACTATAACAAAGATATTGTAATAAAGTGATACATTTTAATATCGAATGAAAATTTAAATAAAAATATATTCATAACAAGCTAAGCATAAAATATATTAAGTTAATTTAATTTCTCATTTTTTAGAGTTACGAGGAGGCAATGTAAAGAAACTCACTCTTAACTCTTTATTCACATATATAGAACATAAGTTTCACRTTATTTCTTATACAGTTTTGTTATTAGTAGTATTAGAGTAAAATATGTATTCATCAAAATTAAACATAACATTATCTAATATATTAAATCAGTTTTATTCAATATTTAAAATTAAAAATAACCGATGATGCTATTTTATTTAAATTTATTAAAATGTTAAGGAAAACATGAAACAAAATGTTCGAATTTGTAAGATAAACGAGTGTCTTATGCTCTATAAACACAATTAACCATCTTGAATTATAATACAATATTTAGATTTTGCTTTTATTTTTATTTGAGATAAGGAACTTGAGTTAAAATAAAATACGCAATTTTTTAAGGAATCACAGAATATGTTTTTATGTTAATACATAATTTACATAATAAAACAACATAATTAACTTAAGAAAAAAAATTTTAAGATACAATGTGAACACTTAACTTAACTAGTAGAAAACTTGTGGTATCATTAAAAAATCTTTAATGTTTAATCAATATGAATAGTATTTTTTTATTAACATAAGCCTTATCTGGGTCATTGGCTAACAATTGAGTTTAGTTATAATATATTAAAATTAATAGCTTTTAATAAAAACAAATTTGGTGAAACTATTACTTTGTTTTCTTAACATGCAATTTTTCTGTAAACTTACTCACCATTTTATCTCTGAAAAAAAAAAAAAAAAAATAGAATTAAAATTATATACATAAAATATTATAAAATAATTATTTTTATCATAGAAAAAATGTAATTGGTCACTATAATGTTAACTAGTAACAAAATATTAATACAAATATTTAAAATAAACAATAAGATGATCATTTTTTGGCAAAAAGTTTAAACGCGGTGCAGATAAAAGAGTTTGAAAAAGACTTCTTTCAATACAATGAGCAGTATATGTTTTTTCTGCTAAGTCAAGGAATGATCCCAAATACACAGCGGGTAGAAAAGTGGAAAAATCMAAAATCCATTACAGAATAGTTACTGTACGAATCAGATAAATAAACATGAACGTATAAATAAGTTTTAACTATTATATCTTATGCGCTAGTTGATAGGTTGATTACTAACTTGCTGTTCTACAAGAAAAAAAATTGTTGAAGCTAGATACTAAGAACAACAAAAACAGTTCATTATGGCTCATCATATCTATACAGGCCTTATAAGTGGCAAAAAATGAATTCCTGTCACACGTTAATTTGCAACCCTGCATGCGAGCCGTGTCATCCAAGACTGAAATAGCTCAGTTCTAGTCTTTGCCATCTAATAATTAACTAGATTTTAATGAAATAATATTCAAATATTTTGAAGACTAAATGGAAAGTTGACAAAGACTTTCAATTTGAACTAGTTAAACATTGATCCAAAACATTGTTAGTTTGATACAATCTAAAAATGTATTATTTTAATTATAATATATTTTTTTTTTTTATTTYCCATTATTTTTATCACTTATAACTTTAGGGTTTAGTTTGGGTTAAAATAATGTGTTAATAACTTACTGTTTATTACTTAAAGCAAAACCGTGTTCTATCATATATCTGTTCATATTTCTCCAACGTTCACGTACTGGTTCCAAGGCTCTCGGAGTTTCTATGTCCCTGACCCATATTTCTCCAAATGCAATATCATTTTTCTTAGTCTATAAGTAAAATAATATAACAATGTATTAATACATAATTAATAGTCAATATTAATTAGAGAATTTACTTCATTCGAGAAATATACTGAGGGATATTTGTTTAATTTCTCAATTAGACGATCACAACTAAATTTAGGCCATACTCCATCTGAATCACCTAATGGAACTAAATTGTTCAAACCACAATGTAGAATTCCACATTTTATTTGAGCACATTGGTCTTCAAGTAAATGTAAAGTTTTGAAAGGTATTTTATCAATTGCTTCATTTAAATCATATAAGTAAACCTGGAAAAAAATTTTGTTGATACACTTAATTTATCTAAAATTTTGATTAATTTAAAATATTCTAGTTATAAAATTGGTTATAAGTAACAATTGGTTTATTTTTAAAATTTAAATGAACAAGTCTGAAGAATTAGGTTGGTGGCCCTATGTAAATATAAAACAACTTGCTAACATTATAACATTATTTTTTTTAACTTGAAACTTTATTTTAATAATCTGTAGCAAAAGTTGAACAATAAGTAATAATGGTTTATAATATGAAGCTAAGAATTTGCATATAGTGTTAATTATATTTGTTTTCCATGGCATTTACTGTCTTTATATGAATATTTAAAATACATTAACAATCAACATTGTTGCAGTTGACTTTTTCTGCAATGCACTTAAGCTTATAACTTATAAGACTGTAAAAATAAATTTTAACTTACTGTAACCTTTTGATTTACTATGTCTAAGTAAATAATTTTCCCTCTATACCAATTTCCATACTTTTTAATAAATATTGCACATAAATCATTTATTTTCCAATCTAATCTTTTGTTGTTTTTTTTTTTATCTCCATAAACTTTGTTCATTTTTTCGGTTAATCTGAAATTCAGATAAAAAATATATTTTAAAGACAACTTATAAAAACACCATATGACTGCATACATTAAGGCAATAAGAGCATATTTTTTATATATAATACATTTTTAGGTTAAATTAAGATTAAAAAATATAAGAAGAATGATTCTTTAAGAGGAGTTTCATCTCAGATTCAGAAAATCAAATTGTGAGGATACCATGCATTCTCTTAAATATTGATTTCATCCAATTACTGCCTATTTTAATTTTATTTTGTGTTATTAATTTTAATATTAAAGTGAATTGACTTTTTATCAAACTTGAAGGTAAGTATGGTAATCTAWTTAATCTGAGTTGGTTTTGCACGGTATTATAATTTTCAAGCAAATTATGAGCATTTTAATACTTAAATGTTTCATATTCATAACTTGATTAGATAAAATATTGTAAAAAGCTAACAGATTATAGATAGTTTTTTGATCTTGAAGTTTGATCATAGGTTACTTAAATGTTTAAACATTTAAAACTAACAACATAAAATCAAATGCAAATTTGTAAAGATAAGATGGAATCAACATTTAAAAGGACGTCTCACCCACATATGTTGTATCCTTCTTACACGCGTATGACATATAAAATTGTACGCTCAGCAGAACACGTGTAGCTCCGTTAGTTTAAAAATTGGAGTGAATTTACCTCTTATAAAATCTAAAGGTAAGATTGTTATATACACAACCTCATAGGCTTTTTATTATATTTTTATTATAAAGTGAGTTATGAGCATTTTAACATTGTTTATTGTTTGTACATCTTGAAATAGTCATAACTCGCTTTAAAATTAAAATATAACAAAAAGCTTATGATGTTGTCTAAATAATAATCTTACCTATAGATTTTATAAGAGATAAATTCACACTAATTTTTAAACTAACGGAGCTACATGTGTTCTGCTGAGCGTACAATTTGCTATATCGTACGCGTATAAGACGGAGAAAACATACACGTGTACAACGTCCTCTTAAGGAATTTGGTCACATGTTTAATTCTGATGACAACTAAGCTTTGTTATTGATGAATGCTGTATTTGCCAATGACAATAGAATATTCTATGTGTTTTTTTAACAAAAAGGCACAGTGGCAAAGTTAAGACATTAAAATACCATTGTCACTGAGCATCCACAAATATTACTAATAATAATAATAAAAATTATTTTATATTCAAATATAAATGTATTTCTCATTATACTGTTGTATCACTATTCACTTGTATACTTACATCTCAGTATTATGATTCATTTTTTTTAGAATTATTTTATCAGGACTGACAACTTCAATGATTGACATTTGTATACCAGGTATTTTTTTCTTCTTATTTTTCCAACCATGATTTTCATTTTCAGTAACTGATCGCTGCTTAGTAAATGATAAAGTATCATCGTTTGGTATTATTACTTCTTTCTGTAGAATAAGAACATTTTATTAACACTTAAATATGAATTACCATTTTTCACTAGATAATAGAACGATTTTGAGCACTTAAAATTAGCCTAGACAAATGATTAAGCCATAAAATGCTCAAAATACAATCACTATTCCTTAACGTGACCAACATATGAGCCTATGTAAAACTAGATACTGCGAATATAATATAAACTGGTATATACAGGTAGACCTAAGCAGGATATGTTTAATGGAGGAATGCACAGTAGAATTTTTACATAAGAAAATTATATACAGGAATATCAAAATTATAATTTTTATAAAGAAGTTCTACTTGCATTTNACATAAATCATTTATTTTCCAATCTAATCTTTTGTTGTTTTTTTTTTTATCTCCATAAACTTTGTTCATTTTTTCGGTTAATCTGAAATTCAGATAAAAAATATATTTTAAAGACAACTTATAAAAACACCATATGACTGCATACATTAAGGCAATAAGAGCATATTTTTTATATATAATACATTTTTAGGTTAAATTAAGATTAAAAAATATAAGAAGAATGATTCTTTAAGAGGAGTTTCATCTCAGATTCAGAAAATCAAATTGTGAGGATACCATGCATTCTCTTAAATATTGATTTCATCCAATTACTGCCTATTTTAATTTTATTTTGTGTTATTAATTTTAATATTAAAGTGAATTGACTTTTTATCAAACTTGAAGGTAAGTATGGTAATCTAWTTAATCTGAGTTGGTTTTGCACGGTATTATAATTTTCAAGCAAATTATGAGCATTTTAATACTTAAATGTTTCATATTCATAACTTGATTAGATAAAATATTGTAAAAAGCTAACAGATTATAGATAGTTTTTTGATCTTGAAGTTTGATCATAGGTTACTTAAATGTTTAAACATTTAAAACTAACAACATAAAATCAAATGCAAATTTGTAAAGATAAGATGGAATCAACATTTAAAAGGACGTCTCACCCACATATGTTGTATCCTTCTTACACGCGTATGACATATAAAATTGTACGCTCAGCAGAACACGTGTAGCTCCGTTAGTTTAAAAATTGGAGTGAATTTACCTCTTATAAAATCTAAAGGTAAGATTGTTATATACACAACCTCATAGGCTTTTTATTATATTTTTATTATAAAGTGAGTTATGAGCATTTTAACATTGTTTATTGTTTGTACATCTTGAAATAGTCATAACTCGCTTTAAAATTAAAATATAACAAAAAGCTTATGATGTTGTCTAAATAATAATCTTACCTATAGATTTTATAAGAGATAAATTCACACTAATTTTTAAACTAACGGAGCTACATGTGTTCTGCTGAGCGTACAATTTGCTATATCGTACGCGTATAAGACGGAGAAAACATACACGTGTACAACGTCCTCTTAAGGAATTTGGTCACATGTTTAATTCTGATGACAACTAAGCTTTGTTATTGATGAATGCTGTATTTGCCAATGACAATAGAATATTCTATGTGTTTTTTTAACAAAAAGGCACAGTGGCAAAGTTAAGACATTAAAATACCATTGTCACTGAGCATCCACAAATATTACTAATAATAATAATAAAAATTATTTTATATTCAAATATAAATGTATTTCTCATTATACTGTTGTATCACTATTCACTTGTATACTTACATCTCAGTATTATGATTCATTTTTTTTAGAATTATTTTATCAGGACTGACAACTTCAATGATTGACATTTGTATACCAGGTATTTTTTTCTTCTTATTTTTCCAACCATGATTTTCATTTTCAGTAACTGATCGCTGCTTAGTAAATGATAAAGTATCATCGTTTGGTATTATTACTTCTTTCTGTAGAATAAGAACATTTTATTAACACTTAAATATGAATTACCATTTTTCACTAGATAATAGAACGATTTTGAGCACTTAAAATTAGCCTAGACAAATGATTAAGCCATAAAATGCTCAAAATACAATCACTATTCCTTAACGTGACCAACATATGAGCCTATGTAAAACTAGATACTGCGAATATAATATAAACTGGTATATACAGGTAGACCTAAGCAGGATATGTTTAATGGAGGAATGCACAGTAGAATTTTTACATAAGAAAATTATATACAGGAATATCAAAATTATAATTTTTATAAAGAAGTTCTACTTGCATTTCTAGAGTTTAGTAATACTGGTTTTTTCATTTGTTTTCTTGTGTTTTTTTTCTTGAATACACATGATTCAGGATCCATTGTAGTGGCATATCCTTGTGATACAAGTTTACTATTCAAGCAAATCTCAGCTCTTGATGAATGATTATATAAAACAATTTTGTGTGTATCACCATCAACTTTGTGTATGAAAGCAATCAGATTATCATCAGCGTAATCAACCTTTGAAAAATTTAAAAATGCAGCACAAGCATTATCACTCCACTTGGTACTTTCTATACCATCTACAGCTGGATTAACATCAGCTAATGATGCCTTTATAGCCTGTAAATATAAATAATAAGGCATAAAAATAAAATGTAAAACACAAATATACATTTGACAACAATTAAAAGTTTATAGTTGGTAAATAATTCTCTATAGTAGATATTTTTTCTATCATGAACCGTTTATTATTTCAAAAACTATTAACGCTTTTGAACATAWATCATAAACTAAAAATACAGTCGCTACCATCTATAATGACGCCGGTCGTAACGACATATGAGGTATAACGACGTTAATTTCAAGTACCCGACAAAATTCCRTTTATTTTAACATACAAAATAACTGGTTGTAACGACATGGACATAACGACAATATCGGCTAATACGAATTAAAAATTGGTCCGCAACACACATTTTAATCGTATATAACGACAGATACGGTATCTACTATCTTCACATAGTTATTTTGTAATGTATTACTATATTAGCTGCTTTCATACGTACATAATATTGAGTAACGAGGACATAGTGAGTACAATATCCAAACCAAATGAAGAAGAAGAAGAAGAGGAGGAAATAACTAATGAAGATAAAGATTATTTAACTGTAGAYGAAGCGTATAAATCACTAGAAAATATTGTTAATTTTTCATTACTAAATAATATTGACTTGAATCAAAATTTTAATTCATTAAAACTCACTATACAAAATATGCTATTAAATTATAAATCAAAACAGTTAAAAATCACTGACTTCTTAAAATAATTTTGTAAAATAGAAAATATAAAAAAATATATATAATGTAAACAACATTTTTAATTCTAATAAAATAAAATTTGGATATAACAACATCTGGTTATAACGACGTATATTTTACGGTCCCTTGACCGTCGTTATAGATGATACGGACTGTAAATAAATAAATATGGAGGGGATTTTGTCTTGCTTTGGATAGATTTTATTAAAATACCTATACATTTATGAAAATATGGAATGATTTTTGTCTGCAGAAATTATTTTCTTGGTATGTTGGTTCAAACAAAACTTAGTACTGGTTTGTTATAGCTCAAAACCAGGCGCGTGTACATATTATAGCTCAGCGATTCAATAGGCATTGCATTAATAATCTAATAATTTAAAAGATCTTAGGAAAAACATACAACATATTACCATAAAAGATAGTTATTGTGATTATTTATTTCATATTAATTGTTTGAAAACCAAAAAACAAACCAATATATATCACAATTAAACACCAAATATATCTTATAATCATTAAAATAACTATTAAAGATTTATCAATAAAAATTACGAATACGTATGTTTTTTAAATTAAAAAAAGGGTATTAGTTGATAAGCTGAAAGGTTTTAAATTATCAATAAGTTTTATTTTATATTTTTTACACAATATTCTTGGGTTCATGAACTTACTTCAGTTTCATTTTGCAAACATGAATTAGGTATTAGAAAAAAAAAGTAGTTGATTGGAATAACTACTCATAAAAAGTGTGTGTCTGCAGGGAAGTAATAACAATTAAAAAAGACGTTTTAAATTCAATAAAAAAAAATACATTTAATAATAATATTTACTTTAGTCCTGATCGAATTGCTTGGGAATAAATTTATTTTACTATTTGATTACTTACAAATTGGTCACAAATTACAATTAGTTAAAATAGTTTATTATTCAAATTAATCAAAATAATATTTTTAAGTTAAAAGATATCATTTTAAGCTTCTCAGTCAATAATAATTTCGAGTCATTGTTTTGATGATTCACCCAATTACTAATCATAAGATTATGAAATCATTTGATAAWARTTTGAGAGTTTGACCACATAGTGCTAAGTTATGCTAAGAACTGTCCAGTGTCCAGCATTAGAGCGCACTGCGGCCAACCAAATTCTGGTTTTCTGTGCATCCCCCACTCATGTGGAACTGGTTTTGATACCAGACCACCAGGGAGGCCAGCAGAATCGTCGCATTCCTCACTGKAGGATATATATAATACTTAGGAGATAATATATTATCTAATATCTAGAAATGAAAAATGTTATCAACGATAATACTTATCAGTTAATTTTATCAATTTATCAAAATTAGGTAAAAACGTTTTTAATAAACACCGGTTCATTGATAATCATTTTTAGATTTGTTTGTTTTGTTTCATAATACAGGGGGAGTGTGTAAGTTGGAAAATTTTATCCATTTATTGGTATGTTAATAAGTATAGAACTTGTAAGGTGTTGTAAAAGTCAGCTATGAAATTAAAATAAAGTAACTATAATAAAAATAAAATACATTTTCGCAAAAAAAATTTGTTCACTTTCGCATTTTAAAATACTATGATAAATTCCTGTGCGTTAACAGTAGTGGTACAATATTATTCGATCGAACGTAAAATTTCACAAAATAAAAAATGTCAATTTCGACTAATGCCATTTTACATAAAAACCATCCAATTATTTTGATCGGAAAAGTAATTTACATGAATCTTATTTTTAGGTACTATACATCGTCGGAAACGGATTTTCATGGAGAAAATTTTGTTGGAAATGATTATTGCGTTTAACGGTTGATATACATTTCTGAAGGAATATATTTCCAGCAAAATACGTTTCCAAATATGAAATAATTATGGTTCGAAAAATTACTATTYACACGACATTTTTTTAATGTAAATGGCTACCGACAAAATAATTTCCAAGTAAACACCACGATTATGTGAGAATAATTTTTGATAAATTACATTTCCAAGTTCATACGGTTCCTGAAAAATACTTTCCCACCTAAATATCTGCTCCAAATAAATACAGGGCTAAGAAAATATACTTTGAAAGTAAACATTCGGACAAAATATTTTCCAATACAATATAGCTCCCCTTCTATAATAAGGTAATCGACATAATTAAAAATGTTATTAGGTTACAACTTACATGTATACTTTTCTAGGTAATAATATGATAATATATATAAATTTATTTTTATAAATTTATAAAATTATTTTTTGATTACAAAATATTTTCCATAACAATATGTATAATTATACCATTATAAAATTAAACTTACAAGTGGTGGTATCTTAATGAGGCTTTTATCAAGAACTCTTAATTCATTCCAAGGCAATGTTTCTGAATTGCCAAAATCTATATAAAAAACAGTAACCAAACGCTCTCCAGGAAAACTTGTTATCTTTGCACGATGCCAATGACCATCAATAGAATATCTAGCTGCAACAGCCATACCTGAAAAATAGAAATATTAAATGTATAGTCGTACTATAAATTTTGTTTTAGCCAAGATAGAAATATTTAAGCACCAATTTGTGGTGTATATAATAAATAGTTTTTAAGTGTATTTTCTGCAGTAGGTATGTATATTGTTTTCAGTGCATTCATTACTTCTTCTAATTGGGCAGTATCATCATCCTACAATATCATAAAACATGGTAAATTTATAAGATCGCTGTTTAATACATGTATGCAATATGCATGTTTAATGTATATTGTATATTTACTAATCGCATATAAAACTCTGTCGGAGAAATGAAGTGACATATGATTACTGAGTATCTTTTTTCTTCTTCCAATTTTATATTATCAGACAATGTCAACATATCAACAAGTTGTTTATGCTAAAAAATAATGTTATTTCAAAATTTATAAAAAAAATTAAACAGTTAAAATACTTACCAATTTATCGTTTACATAATACTCATAAGAACCGTAGCCCAAAAAAAACATAGCATCACGTATGGACAGTGGATAACAATAGTGGTCATTCCAAACTATATCAACCTCAATACGTTCACCATTTACTTCCAAAGGATACATTAAATATGAACCTGTCTTTGCTAATATTAAATCATTGAATAATATGTATGCTTCATTTGACCATCCAGTTGTATATTTTGGCTTCAAATCGTATATGGCACAATTATAGGCTAATGGCGGTATTGAGACAACACTTAGTGGTGCGCTTCTAATTCTACAAAGTTAAAAAATATAAATAATTTATATATATAATATAAAAAATTATGCCATATATCCATTTTTGATCATGATAATAATATTATTATTCACCAAAGTTTATACTATTATTTTTAATCTTAACAATTTAAATCAGGTCTAGTAATATTAATCTGAATATTACTTTGTTACATAAATGAAATCAAAAACAATAAAATCATTATATAAAGGGGTTGTTTAATTATTGTCACTGAAGTAAAAAAAAAACATTATTTGTGAAGTTCATTGTATTTGAATAATTATGTTATTGTAATATTTTATAGTATTCAGGTGTATCTTTGATTGAAACAGGTGAAATCAGCTATAACTAGAAGATGAGGGTTAGTTTAAGTAAGACTTACTCACCTCATAAATGTTAGAAAAAATGTATTTTAGACTCAAAATATAGCACAACATTTTTAGTTTAAGACTTCTCGTGAATAATTTTGTAGTTTTATCAATAGATTAATATTACAATAAATTAATTAATAAATTAATAACAATTGAAACAATAATTAATATTAAGAAGTAACTACCTGTTGACTGTTAAAGTCTCCATAAAACCGTAATCAATTAAGTGTACTCTGAATAAATTTGTATTGCCTTCATTGAAGGTGTGGAGTACAACTCCTCGGCACCACTCATTGGCTGATGTTTGTACAGCGTATATAATGCCATCGTCTGAAAATCACAACCAGTGAATTGTTAACAAAACTCAGTCATATATGATTGCATGCAGTGGCATATCCAGCAGTTTTTCCGGGGGGGGGAACCTCATAACCACTCCCTGGATACGCCACTGATTGTATGTATTATATTTAGTAAAGAGTACTTAAAAAGGGGTGATGAATATTTTTTTGTTTGAAGTGAGAATGTTTCAATTATTAGGTAAAAAACTCCAATACAGTTTTGTGTTTACCTGGTAAGTCTATATTTATGTTAAACTGGTAAAACTGGAAAGAAAAACATAGTTATGTTGTTTTCTTGCGCTTTAAATATACAAAATTCAATAACATTCTTAAAAAATTTTTTAAAAGTTGAAAACTGTATACTTTTAATACAATTATAGGTACTATAAAATAGCTTATTTTTTTCCCCATAAAGGTTTTATGACTGAAAGTGTGTGAAAACTTCTTAGACAATAAATAAATATATAAAGGACTACCTATTGATGTTTTGTGTTTAATTCAGAATTTTGTGATTTATTAAAATTATACAAATAAATTTGTTATTACTAAGATTTTAGTTAAATTTTAAGCAACAACTAACCACAAAAATATTTAAAAAATTGAGATACATATTTTAAAGAAGCTTTTTAGGATAATAGAAAAAGGTCTAAGGCAAAAAAAAAAATTTTCCTGAATTATTATTAGACGAGTATATCTTAAGAAATGTCAAAGTAGTTAATTCAGTAAAGTATTACTATTCAATGGAGACAGGGGTTTGAATAAAAATCAACATTTTGATACCATAATAATAATGCTGAAGATCGATGGTTTGCATTATATCACTAATGTTAATCATTGGTTTGGTGATAGAAATTTTTCTTTAAGTTCTGAACATATTAAACAATTATATTTTTTCTATAAGATTAAAAAATACGTATTTGCATCCGTTAGTTATTGATTTTTAAATTTTTTTTGACAATTCAAATTCGTTTATCGTTAGGTTATAATAATGACTAAAATCCAACAATGGTAAGTGTAATTGATAATCTAAGTTATTATTTTAAATAATTTGTTTTCGGGCATTATTATCGTCTACCCCTCGTTTGTACTCCACTACTACAACTAGAATACAACTACAATACTGTCTTTAAAAATCCTGTCATCACTTTTCTCTCCATAAAAAAATATATTCTATRATTAGAACTATTTTAAACTTTTTCTGTATTCAACGACAAAAAGCTCGCGCGCCACCAACAGCATCATCCTTATAGATAAAATGTTTAGCCCAGTGCCAACTCACCTATATCCACGTGATCCACCGGTATAGCACCAAGTTCCGATTTTACATGTCTGTTGAGTTCGTTGTCGACCCTATCTTTGACGGCAGAATTGGCGCAAAGCTGCACATAAAAGTCGGATGGGCTGTTGGCGTGCGACACGACCACGAACTCGACTTTATTTTTCACGACCTCTGTGACGACCTCCAATTGAGGAGGCCCGTAGACGATGGTACCACCGCTAGTCTTGGCTTTATCGAAACCAGCAGCGGCGACGTCACCAGAAAAAGCTGTAGCAACGTCACTAAAGGAAGCGGCGACGTCATTAGAAGAGGTGGTGGCCTCACCAGAAACGGTCGAATAATTGCTGCAGCTGGACATCGTCGACGACAACATGCTTGAGACGGACGACGGCCGTCTTTCGGACAGCGCTGTAACATTTCACAGGACTGTCTATTTAGTAAATTGTAAAACGAATAAAATAAAACCTAATCTAATCTAAGTAGGTAATCAGCGATTAAATTTGAATAACCGAAGTTCACCAAAAAATTGAAAATAATTTTTAAGTTTACTATCAACTATTTAAAATATATTTATATTATTTATGATAAAAAATTTGAAACCGTTGCTCGTCGCCTTGAATTCCACTCGTTGGTCTCGTTGTCATACGCTGAATGCAAACATCTTTAAAACGTCTACACATAAGATGTATCTTATAGGCGAGAGGGTGCCCCTATGATATTGTATAAAATATCTACCCATGAATAATTATGTATAGTGACAACGTTGAATGTCTCTTACCGTTGATATCGTCCGAGTTCAGTCCGATTGTTGCGCTTAGGGTGTATTCGGGCAAAATGTCGGGTGAACATACCAGTACGTAACGGTCGGAAGTGTCAATATTGAAAAACACGGAACTTTGAATGGCGGCGTAGATATTTTGATCGAAAACGATTGACGATATTTTCGTATTGTTCTTCTTCGCCAAATAATAAGTCGTGTCCAGCATGCGCTGAATGTCAGCAATGTGATTCATCATTGCAGTGAACGAATAATGATTTTTTTTCAACGCTATGTCTAAGATGTTCAATTTGGTTTGCAGTTCCTAAAAAAGCAGATTTTCGAATATGAAAATGAAAACGTACAAAAAAAATTAACATTCAATAGATTATTAGAAAAACATATTAATATTATCGAATTACATTTTGATATAGCTAATTAATTAGTTTTATCTAAATGTGTAAATTAATTAATTATTAATCACATAATTCGGATAAAAAATGAAGATGGAAAAACTTAACATATTGGATAAAATGTTCAAGACATTGCAGTATCGCGCAATACATAGATGATACTATATAGTAAATACCTAATTTACGAGACACAATATTATAAAATATTATTCTTACGTCTATGAAACTGTTTAGTTGGCCAACCACTTTGCTCATAGAGTTGGTGGACGATTGTTCAACTTGATCAATCACATAGTATAACTGTTGTTCTAAATCCTGTAAAGCACCAATTACAGAAGATACGTATGATGATATACTTTGTTTATCTTGATCAAACTTTTTTTTCTTATTTAAATTAGAACATCGATGTTTTTGTATCTTTTCATTGAATTTCTAAAATAAAATAAAAATAATTATGGTTAATTATAAAAGTATGTACAGATTGTATAGGTAATATAAATAGTATTATTAATCAACAATACTACATAACTTTGTTGACATTTTTTTTTTTTTTTATAGTTAATAACTATTATATTAAAATAAACATAGGCACTAAGTGAGTTAGGGCTAGTTGTACCATCTCTGATTAAAGTTAACTGGAGTTTAATCGGTCAAATTTGCACGGTTAAATATCTGTTATAAGCTAATTAAGCATAATCGAAGTTTAACCGTAGACGGTACAACTGGCCCTTAAACAGAACATTTTAATTTGTAGTTAAAATTAAGGGCGAGGGAGAAAAATAATCTATATATTTTAGTTGGTGTTCTGGTGAAGCCGGGGATGAACCAGATGAATATTTAATCTAGATATAAGACATGGATGCATTTTTTTCTGTACTTCATTATTTAAATAGCTTTTTTCTGATGGGTCAGCATCATATTTGAATGCCCAAAGATACGTATAATGCCTCTCAATGACAGTAAATAATAGATCAACTACATTTTGGTTGTATAATTGTTTATTTTATACAGATTATAAACACGTAAATTGATTCTTAGTATTATTTTAATAATTTTTTTTTATTATTCATCCATATAATTCACATTCATAGATACATCGATTAAGTTAACCTGCAACTAGTTATAATAGTTTCAATTCGTATGCTAACGTTTTCTACAATATACGTTAAAAGAGTAAGCGCATTATATAACCAAATATATTATTTTGGTTTTTTTTTTTTTTAAATATATGCGTAGGTAACAAAAAATATTTAGTTACAAACCATAACCACTTGTATTTATATTATGTTATTATAATGATATTGATACAATATAGTGTWTTATATTATGTTTATAGGGTATCAATACCCTTCCACTCAACTTCCCCTTCCGGATCTTTTCTTATTGCTCTTTCGAGTGACCGAGGCCACGTTAAAGCAGTCTCATGACCGGTCATGGGCCTAGCACGAGTGAGCCGTCAACCGGCTTCCTTGTATGTTCTCGATAGACATGCGTACAATTCTCTTCTCGATGAAATTTAATTGCTACATGTTCATTTAAAGAACAATTATTTAAAACTTAATTTATTAAATTTAACAATCAAATCATGTATTTTTCAAATTTATTTAAAATAATTTTACTATGCTCAGTGCTCTCGATCATCTTCATACCAAATATTGGTAAGTGATACTTTTTTATAACATAAGCTTTGGATAATTAAACAAATTATTGGTTAAAAACAAAGGGTTTCCCATCCCGAGAACTAAATTAAAAATAGATGCCTGCAATAAGGTGTATTTGAGAGATATAGTATTTTTTTATACCATGCTTGAGTAGCTAATTTTAATTTAATTTAAAGCAATCTATAATACTGTATTACTGATGTTCTTATGGTTTGTTCAATAGAGCGCGTAATTAGTAATCATAAAAATTACATTTAAATATTCGATTAATATAAAAAAATTATCTGCCAATTCAAGTATAATAACTATATAAACCATTTGTCATTTACAAATTTTAAATGATTTGAGTAAAAAAATAATACGTATAACGGCAAAAATGATTAGTCCATTTAGAGTATGCATCAAATCTTAGTGTACCTAATCAGTTTGTTTATGAACAATGTGGTAGACATGCGCAGTGTGTTTAGAAAGGGAGAATTTGAATCAGGAGAGTGTCATATAATAAGAACTAAAAACTATAATAATATGTACTTAATATAACTTTTAAGTGCACCATTAGACGCGTTGTTTGTTTCTGAATGAACGACTCACAAAGAAACAGGTTTCCAGTATAAGTTATTATTTGGAATACGGCCAGCCAAAGTGGGGTGGGAGATAACGAAACCTGTTCTTAGGAGATCGAGCACCCTAGATTGTATGCAGGAATAAAAAGGACGAAAATAAATAGACCTTTTTGTCAATACAAATATAATTCGCAAATTTTGGGTACAAGGTCTCGTAGGTGTAGGTGGAGGTAGCTTTTTTCGAAAGGTTTTTGCCACGCCCCCGAGTCACGTATCTGGAACACTCGGTACACACAGCTTCGGGGCAAGCACGACTTCGTTATTAATAACGATTGTGATAAAATAAAGAATAACATAATAAAAACGCCCACCGGGTGCATACGAACAGTGGAAAGTGACGAAAAACGGGAGTCTAAAACTGAGAGTCCCCTAATAATGTTAAGGTCGAAAGTATAAACACCGCGACTATAATATTGTACAACAGCCTAAAGTTTGAACTCTGACAAACAATAAAAACATTTTTATTACATGGGTCGTGAGCGATCGATCGTTTCCTCAAAAGTGATTAGCCTCGCTAACTGCACACAATATGATTATCGCATTAAACACTTAAACTTGAATTATCGTTGACTTCCCGTCATAATATATACGATACACAGCTTCTTTGGATTGGCTACAAGTACAATACGATGATCCCGCGCCCACGCACTCACGCGCGGTTTGGGGATAATAAAATATACAATAATCATATATTATGTAGTCTTATTAATACGCGGACACACGATTATATACGCCCGCAAACTAGGTATCATTCGGGTTGTAATAATAAATATGACCCGTGAGGTCACGTCTGTGTTCGGGCGCACGCCAACGCGTGCCCAAGAATTATTATGAAACGTAGAAAATAATAACGTTACGGAGCCACTTTCAAATGGGTCTATTATTCAATGTTTGACCCAAGTAGCAGTGTCGGTTCGAATTCACAATGCAAATACGCATTAGTAGTATAACACATATTATTATTATTATTATTATAGTACAAAGATTTGATAAATATACCTAATATACTGTCGTGTTGTCGTGTATAGGAGGTTCGGAAGATGGCAAGAAATCGAAGAGCGCCAGAGCGTTGGAGACGCGAGACTCCGGGGGAGACGACGATACGGATGGTCTGGACCAAAGAGATAGGCTCGAGGACGATGACGAAGAAACAACCAAAGTCCCGCCGGGATTTCTGAGCCCGTCCGTGAGGGAATACTTGGAACTAGGAAGGTCGATTCCAGGTACAGCTGTCACGCTATTTACACGGTTATCGGTTATACCCGAAACCGGGTTAGTAGTGATATGTCATCATCATCATTATTGTGAATATTTAATAGCTGTTATGATATAGTTAYGGTGATTAATCTCAGCGAGAGATAAATCGGTACTACTAAAGTATACGGAATAATGAGTAATACTTTAATGTGTCACCGCTRCCAAACAATAAAATTGATATGGCAGCCAGCACGCTCGCAAATATTACCTAATAGTGTTTTGTTAACACATTATCCAATGGGATATCATCCGAGAGAAAGCTGAATGAAGATCCTTGATCAGTGGTTCAAAAATTGCGGTTAAMTGAAATTTTGGGCTTTTGCATAGTTTTTATAAGAAAACACGGTAAAAAATATAAACGGAGTTTTTATATTATATGATTTTATATAATCCATGCATTTGTTCAATAATCGAAAATCGATACAGGCAAAAAATAACTATATTAACTATTGTATTTAATTTTTGAATCAGACACCTTAAAAAATCTGTTCTAAATGTATAAATTTGTCCTCGTATCTATAAATAATATTTATTTTTAGAAATACAGGTGTATTTAAAACAAATGTTTCAGGCAAATAGACAGAAAAAAAATTCCATTTCAAAAACGAACGCTGTTTTAATTACATTTATAAGGAGAGTTGATTTTAAAATAACAATACCAAGCTTAAGAACTCCTTATACTCTTACAAATATATGACAGCAACAATGACAAAATTGAACGTTGTAACATACGCGTATAGCCGTATAGGTTTATGATTAAGTTACGCAACCAATCGAATGTGACTGAATACGATGCCCATATTTTAATATTAAGCTTCATACGCAATAATATTTAACACGCGCTGAATACTAAAATAAATACAAACATTTTCTAGGAGTTCAATACTGACGATACGAATTCGACAAATTCCGACGAAACGTGAATATAAATTCGTTCGTTTGATCGAKAAAAAACATTTTGTTGACAAAAATGTAACGACATGGCCATTAAAAAAAGATTTGTACCCGTCACCTGCTTAGAAGTTGAGGACATCTGATAATGTATATAAATTGTTTAACGAACGCACGCAAACGTACATCACAATACTAATATTATGCGACGCGATGACAAATATTTTACGCGCTTTAATAACAAGAACAATAGACTTGAGGCGGCGGCATCTTAACGCTGTAATATTGCACTCGATATAGRAACGACCGATTTGTACTTAATTTTTACTTTAGAAAGGACGCATAAGACATAACACGCGAGTTGTACAGGTATATAAGAATGATAAACCAATTTGATATTTCGTGTACATTAACGAATTACAGTCAATGTACAGAATATAATACTATACACTTCTGCAACAGAAGGACACAATTGATGATTTTTGGTACGAATATTTCAAGGTCTGCGTCGGCGTTCGGTCAAAACACATATATAGATTATATATTTTTCACGGCGATATAATATATATATATATATATATATATATATATATAAGTAGTGAAATGTATACACATACGTACAATTAATATATACCATAATATGCGTGAAAATTCGTAGGCATTTAATAACTCGTCTCGATCGTCTTGATATAGACCATTATTATTTTTAATAACCTTAGAATGTGATCAACGAGTGAATGTAAATCGAATGCGGCAGCGGAACTGTAATTAACTATAATATCAAAACACCATAACCATGGTATATATTGACATTTTATGTCCTCATCACTCAGACTTCCGAGAATCGACACGTCGAATCAACAATCTCTGATTTATTAGAGTDAATTATTGTTATTATTATAAAAGGTAGATCGATTTGCATATTTAACTTACGAGTTGATTGTTTAGCAACTAGGAAATATAGTATTTTAACGAGTACCTATTATRCTCTATACAGTCCTACCTACTAACTAGTAGTTTTGGTCTTACACCAACTCCTACAGTCATTTTAAAACAATAACACATTTTATATGATGTACTAATAAATGTACATAAATATTATTATCTATTATTTTGTATACATTATAATCGAGAGGCCCAACGGTGGTTTCATAATTAAACAAAGAAAAAAGGAATTAACAAATAACAGAGATAAAACAATTTTTTTTATAAAATTAAATGCCAAGTCGTCAAACCAAACACGAAACGYGACCACCATCGCATGCAGTTGAAATCGGAGCGGTATGGATTATTAACATAAATTAAAATACATTATTGCTTTCGATTTGGTGTTTGAAATATTTGCAAAGCCTTRCGGGTATTTAATACTCGCGTACTTTTGCAATACGCGACACGCGTTTAATAATTAACAGCGCAGGTCATATTTATTACACCTGTACAGTTACAAGCGAACATTCTGAAGAATTTTAATWCTATCATATATTTTCAATTTTAAGTCGAATAAATAATACTGTGGACCTAGGACGTAAAAAGTGTATGGGAAATGGCTAGTTTAAAACATATGAAATTAAAATTTTCCGTTTGACTAAACAATGGTTCTTCAATTAATGAAGACGAAGACTAATGTGTACAGAATGTATCATGTATTTTCGGGACAAAGAAAGTAGAATGAATACAGCCGAACAAGAAGTTTTTTTATTTCTTTTTCTTCTGAGAGCATACCTATTTGCACTTAACATTTTTGATCACCACCTGTTTTTTCAATGACACTTTGTCAGATGAGTTTATAGCAGTTATTTTAATATAACCTTTCCTGTTAGAACCGACAGCAGAGGATCTGTTTGCACAATACTACTCCTCTGCTGTCATCGGTTATTGATGAAAACATATTAAATATAACTTAATTTTAAGTTAACTGTATGTTTTTGAATATATTCTATGCGACTAAAGTTTTTTTGATACATATATTTATATATTACTATTAGTAATTTCCGTCATTACCCATATCAATTCTTTTACAAAGTTAATATAATAAATAATTATATTTTAATTTCTCAATATTWTGTATGAGTTCAGTACAACAGAATAGTGTTTGGATGTCACTCTGATCTTAAGGACTAGCACTTTATGGATATTATACCTGTACTCAAATCGCGCCTATATGTACGATATGCCACTAATCTGACTTTCAGCAAACAACAAAGAAAAGTGATRTTAACATTTTTAGTAAATCATAAATCGCGATAATTATTACACGTAAGACGTAACCATTATCATACTAATTGGTAATTGTGTAAAACATATTTAAATACACATCGCCATAATCACACAAAAATTTCCGAAATGTAACATAATATCTGTAATGACTTCTGYATCACACACAGTTAGATAACATACTCTATTTAATATTATATATACTACTTAGGTTATTAACTATGTCGGTTGATATTTTGCAACGTTGAACTCTCACCTCTGCACAGTAATAATTTACTTGGAGGTGACCAACTTTTATTTTGATCGTATACAATATTTCTTGATTTGAATGTATAGTAGACGGTTGGAAATTGGTTATAGGTACATTGTACAATATCTAGAAACTCGAAATAATATATTCGAACGTATGCTAACATTTCGTTCCGGTTGCAGGCAAACCAGGCACGGACTATCCGGTACTGGCCGTGGTCCCATAYACAGACTTCTACTGCGACGACCAACCGTACCCGGGATTCTTCGCGGACGTGGACACCAGGTGTCAGGCCTGGCACTATTGTGACATCGACGGCCGGCAGGCGTCTTTCCTGTGCCCGAACGGCACGCAGTTCAGTCAGGCCGTGTTCGTGTGCGACTGGTGGTTTAACGTGCGGTGCGACCTTAGCAAAGATCTGTACCACATCAACGAGCGACTGTACCGGACCACACCTCGACCCGATAGGCCGCACAGAGTGCTCACCAAGGAGTTGCTCGACCAGATATTCCTCTGATCGGACACTACGCGATTTATATATAGATATCATATGATTGTGTTTAACGTCTACATATATACACACACACACACACACACACACACATATAAGTACCTATAGGATTTATGATTAATACTTATACGATTTAACAAGACGTTAGCGGCCGTTCGATAGATATATAAATAATAATTATGCCTGGAAGACATTAAGCAAATTTAAATGTTATTTCCTTGAACAATACTGTCAAATTATCTAGATACACCTCTCTCCCACCTTTTGTACATGGTATATCGTACGTAGAGCGACGTCTTCTTTCCATCTCTTTTCAAAAACATTATTTCAATCTCATTTAAATAATGTAGCACTTTTTGTATTATTGTTACATGCATACATAAAATGATGTGAAAATAACTAAAATTAGAAAAGATTGATCGATTTATATAAATAAGCACGAAAACGTTAAATTTGATTTTTGCTCATGCATAAAATTTTGAAATCTATATACATATACTATAAATCAAATAAACTTTAGAAAGTGATCATGGCGCCCGCGGCTTATACGGTAACCTGTCAACAAAACGTCCACTGCCACCGCGAACATAATATAATAGTATAATATCGACAAGTCAACAAGACTTTTGTAAATACATATTTTCTAGAATTCCGCGTATACCTACGCCTGCGGCGATATCATTTTTATAGCCCGTGAACGTCACACGACTAAAACCAAATAAAATTTAATTAAACGTGTATAATAATACACATTATTTAATAATTCATTACACACCACGACGAGTGACCCCTRCATATATCGTGACGATAACCGCCCACCAATCGTAGGTATATGACTGTTGACATCTCAAGCGGAGGTTCACACCAACCACTATATCGCCTATATACGTATAATATCCAAACATGATACTAAAGTTCAGCTACACGTTCACGAAATRTTATCAAACCGCGATCGAGATAAAATATTATTTGGCCATCGAAAGTTGTGTACCTACAGATAAAATATTATACAATATATTATTATATTGGAGCTGTAGTAGTTATATATTACAATTCGTCAATTTCGAGTATTCCGACACTGTATTCTTATACACTACATAAAATACTCTAATGTTTGTAATTATCTTCCCGGCTAGTTAAATATATTAATATAATAGGAAAAAAATTAAAAGTTTGTGCGTTTCATAAAAAATATTATTATGCCCAGTGCCCACGTTAAAGAGAATAATAGTTTTCAACTACAGACAGTATATGGGCACACCACATTATAGTGTTGTATGTAAATCGGATGCAAGCGAACACCGCATCATTTGTTGTATAAGCAAGACGCGTACCGATTTACACGTTTATGATACTATTGTCTTAAGGTCACCGCTTGTAAATGTATTCGTTTTGTTCACTACAGAAACTATACATGAGTAAATTATTGTTTTCATATTTCAAAGCTAATAACTATTTATAAAATGATTGCATTTGAATCTTTACAATATAAATTTATATTATACATACCTACTTACTTAACATATGATATGTATGGACGTTACACACATTATGTGCGCAATTGTTATGCGAATAAAGGTCGATGACTATATTATAATTTAAAACATGTCACAAATACATAAAACTTCTATTATCTAATAGGCAAAATATTTTTCTTTATATAACTTGTTATTTCACATATATATTATACCATATTATATTTATTATTTAAGTATTAATTTAATAATTTAAACGAAGAATCCACCGAACACTATATATTATAATACGAAAAAAAATAAATGTTTTTGTGATTATACATAGGGTATGTTATAAACATAATATTGTATATATTTATTTCATTATACGTTAAACTACAATAATTTATTCATATAAAAAAACAATGTCTAAAAGAATTTGCTTATTTGCTACTAAAAATTAGATATTTAAAAAAATATTAAAGCTGGATAAATGTTAGATAATAAATAAATTATAACCAATAAACAGCTATATTAGATTTAAGGTGGTTTTAGACTTAGCGTTAATTCATATAGCATAATGTATTATAATAACTATAACCTCTGAAACCCGACTACGATATTACATCAAATTTTAGAGCGAGTAAAAATATGTGATTTAATTATCATTATTATATTAAATTAATACATGTTGAAGACAATATGTCATTCGTTATTCAATGCACTAATATAATGTTACACGAACAAACATGATATGAATTATTCAGTTATTTACTTAACATTTTATGTAATAATTACATTGTTACTTTATTTAAAACTGTTGCACACTTTAATCGAATGCACCACGAATTGTATACTATTGTATATGCTCAATTAACAACAACATATTTATTAATTTGTAGTTGTATACTTGTATTAAACACGTACAATTTAGAAAAAAAACTAGAGATAATTATTATAGTTAAATATTTAAGAACTTTGATTGCTAAGTACAAAAAACACGTTTTTTGACTATTTAAAAAAACATTATAGAATACAATTAAAATGCATTTAACATAATTTCTGATTTTTGTTAAAATATAACAGATATATTATATTTTATATACATTTGCTTTTGAAAAACATATGAAGTCTTTTAAGTTATTTTGAAACAAGTACTTAACTTAAATAACTGAAGTATAGAGTATTAATTATTTTATGTTTAAATATTAAAATTCTTTAAAGAAGAATGTCATTTTATACATATTATAATAATGTTTGAAATTCAATAACTCAGTTGTATTTTAATCGGAAATAAATTTCAAACAGAAAAAGTTACTTACCTAGATAATTATTAGTATAATATGTATAGGTAATTTTAAAAACATAACAAACATTTAACTATTAAGTCTATTGAATGATAATATTTTGAAATTTCCATAGTAGATTTTACATTCGAACTTAATTGATTAGGCTTGCATATGTCTAGCCATTTAAGAGTTCGGACGCACATAATAATGTATAATTTAAAGATTGTAAAAGTTAATCAATAAATGTGAGCAGCATCTATTATACCTACTAGTCATTAATGTATTACCTAATATACTTAAACTATAATGATTATTAATAATTAATAACATAATTGGTAAAAAATTTYGGACTTTTACTAACACTGATTGTTTATCCTAAGATTTACCAAATCTCGTTTGTCATAGTCCGAACTATAAAAATCATTCTAGATTTACCGGTAAATCATAGGTTTAACTGGTATTCGTACTTTTACCCTAACATATATATTATATATGTACATTATTAGGTACTGAAGTATATAGTTAAATTAAGTAACGAAAAAATTAATATGGAAAAATTATTTTAGTACCTACTCCATATAGGTATACGCGGATAATAATTATAAAGTGCGGGTTAGTTAAACATAAAAAAAAATAATAATAATAACGTAATAAATCATTACAATAATATACTTAATCAACGATTTGGTTCACATTACTCGTAAAATTTGGTGATTAATCATTTACAGATTATTAAAAACATTAAATGTTTACAAAATTGTATAATTTCGTACAATACTTATACGCGGCTGTATATGCAGTTTACTACGGCCGAGTCATCAATTAATATAGCACATACCATATACTATACGGTACACGCACTTTACGTTTCACACGATCGCGCTCTCGCCGACCATCTGCAGCAGACCACAGACCCATGGCCGGTATAACCTTTGCTGAGGTCACCGATATAAAATAACAATAATTTTCTTGTTTTTACAATCCCGATACAACAGTACTCGATTAATAAATCGATATACTATCGCGGTGCACTCGTAATATAATTATGTTAATCGCCAGTGTGTCTTCGTAGTTCGATTAGTCGTGTGTATCGGCCGGCGGTATCGATTTATCTTATAAATAGGTAAGTAAAAGCGTACACCGAATACACGCGAACCGATTACACTCAGATTACTGTACAAGGCTACGGCTCGAACGTGAAAAAGTAATCGTAGGCAAAGGCTGCGAATCTATATATGAGATATTTGACATATAGATTTTGAAATCACATAATTTATTTTTGAAAACAACAGACGGTTTTAGAAAAAGCATCATTGMCCAAATATAAGCATATTTATCACTTATCGATATTGGCGATCAAAATTTTTCAACGATAATAATATATTTATTCGAACCTACATGGAAAGCTAAACAACATATGAAATACTGTTATGAAACCCCCGAATTATTACATGAACATCACATGTTTTTTTAACGTTAATATTACAGTTCATGAAATTTTYAGCAGAAATAATGTCTTAGCTCTTGGACGATGTCGTGACCGTATGGGATCCGCAGAATCAGTGGGGATTGTGTAAGTAACACGGAACGGCACGAGTTTTAGGTCAAAATTTTTTTTAGCTGTACTTTTAACTACCAATGTTATAATAAATATGTTAATTATTTTAATATTCGATTGGTGCGTAAGTTTTTTTTAAGTGTTGTGTTTAGTTCAAATAATTAAATCTATAGCAATACATTAACCGCAATTTGAGTATGCTTAAAATTTATATGACTAAGACGTCATTAGATATACATTGGACCATATTAATTTATTCTGCCTTCTGCGACGAATTCAAATTTTAACAAAAATGAATTCAATAAATTAATGAACAACAGTCAACAAGTCTTATTTAAGAATAAGGTTTAAAATAAATCCAATTTCTGCAGTAAATATACATATCTATATTCGATTCATAATATTTTATAATTTTAAGTTAGTGGGCTATATCCGGTTCAAAAGTCCCACAGACCCTTCCCACGCTTCCCAGTGCTCCGGGCAAATGCGCCTACTTTGACCGAGTATATATGTCATGTGTTTGTTCAATCTACGTTTGGTTATAGCTGTATATAAATCCATATAGCCCAAGAACAACGATTCAAAAAAGTTTTTTTTTAAGAGTTAAAAAATAGCCAATAACTATCATCCAGCAGTACGACTGCTAGATGCGAGTATATCGAAATTTAAGAAGAAATCAGTGACGAATTTTTATACTTATAGTAGAGAATTTATACGATAATATTATATCGATGAAATAAGCGARCAATACGTTTTTAATTACACAGGTAAATAAACTCAAAATACAATAACATCTTGAGACATTAGGTATAGGTAATGAATATATTTATTCTGAACCTACTTATTAAATTAACCAATTCTATTCACATTTCATACATGTACAATACATACACTTATCATTATGTGAGTCAGGGTCGGATTCACCAGCCAACAACAACAATTATAATACAAAATTCAAACTGTAATCATTTTACCTTCGTATCATCTATATATGCGTATTACATATACGGCATTAGTTAGGTCTCGATATTACTTTACCAACAATACAAATCACATTAAGACTTTGTAAATTTGTAAAATTTGTATAAACTATATATTATAATAGAAAATTAATTTYCAATGATACTTAATGTAGATACTGATGTATGTTTGTGCGTACACATTTTAAATGCCAAGGTAAAGTTTAAGCAGTTTTTTCAGTACAATTATAACTACAAAGAAATATTACGAAAAGTTTCATCAAGTAACATTCAAATGCAATTAATGGCCATAAATCATATTAAATACATTTGGTCTTGATTTTCCCACAGTAAAATTACAATCAAACAAACATATAGAGCAATAATAAACAAAACATAATATCAATGCAATGAAATCTATCTAAAATATAAATGTATCAGCTTTGTAATTTCGTTTTTTTCTTGACTTACTGTATTGTATTTTAGAATTTAAGAGCTAGGTGACATTCATATTACATAACTATACAGTATATCTAAATTACATAACATGAATAAAAAAGTATAAATATAATAAACGGAGGTATAAATATAAAATTACAATAATTAAAATTGTATATTTAGAACAAGTGTGTCATGCCTCAATGGGCTACGTAAAGATTGTATCTTTTCCATCTGATACAGTAATAATAATATACGTATCACTCAACGAACGATTGACCTTAAACATTTAAAAGTATTTAATTTCCTATGCACGTGCAATGTGCAACGTTTATTCGATCACAGTTTCAAGTCAACTTAACGACATGATATAAAAGCTTTATGAGTTACGCCTTATTATACATGAATGAACAGCATAACATTCCAATTATTTAAGACTTAGCCGTATTTAACAAGCGATACGAAGAACACGGACATAATTYCATGGGTGTATATTGGGTTGTAGGTGTGGTTAATATTTATACGAGTAGTAGGCACCTAATACATGTAACAACGAACATATCATTTAACTACTGTAAATTATTGTATCAATAAAAGTTTAGATGTATAATTATTTTACATTTAAGGTCCACAATTTAGATATACAGGAAAAAAATGAAGATAAAGTTTATAATTGGTTATAACCATATTTATTCTATTTCTATATTACACAAAATTATAAGTGTTGAGAGGGAAACGAAATTTATACAGCTATAATTATTGTATTATAAAAATATTCATACTTCTCAAAAGTACAGAATAGTTTTCCTTCCCAAATCGGACAAATCTACTGGCGAACTCGTGGGAAGGAATGACTACCCCCTTAAACTGTAACTATAAATTATAATACGTAATATATTACAGCGATAGTTAACAAACTTTAAAACCATATTATCGAGTCTTCTAAGTAACTAAATGTGAGTTTGATCCATGGTATTTGAATGTTTTAATTTTAATAATATGTAATTTTTTAATAACACACGCATATAATACAATTTTCAATTAATTTACTATTTATTTTTTTAAGCTTGAATGGATTGTAAAAAGTAGTACCACTAGAGAATGGAAAAACAGACGCATATGTGGATTACAATTTAGCATATTAATGAGGAAATACCACCGAATGGTGTTATTAACTGATTTGCAAAAATGAATAAGTGAAATGTATATTATTTTGTTCGCATATAAATGTAAAGCTATAGCTACCCTATTTTACATAATTTATACCGGACCGATTATAAGTTTTAGAATTTTATTTTATAAGTAAGAGTAAGTATAAGTTTATTTTCAAATTTGTAAATTCATCGAAACATTCGGAATAAAGTCATGATTAAAAAAAGCRGGTAAGTCGTGTATGTCGCTCTGCTGTACAGTAGGTTACAAGTGGGTTACTGTAATGGATGGAATTAAATTTGAATCCAATGATATTACATCATTGTATACGAAAAACGATTCTGAGCGAAGACG